TTTGGGCTGGTAGCGGCGGCCCCGGAGGCGGGGGCTCCGATCGCAGCTCCCGACGGGGCTCGGGCCGGTGTCAGCCCCGCGTCCCGCCCGCGTTGGGTTGGGTGTGCGGGGGCAGGAGTTCCCCGCAAACGGTACGAGCCGGGCGTGAGTGGTGGCTGAGAAATGCTGTTGGCTGAAATCGTTAGGTTTTATTTCTTTTCACTGGTTGTAATGATTGTTAGGCCGTGGAGTTCGAATTTCGCGTGGATGCCTCTGCATGAGAGAGGCAGTCGGTGTGGCGGTTCCTCATTGTCTGCTCATGGGTTGACGACCCGTTCGGTACCTGTTCTTCGCCGCCGCCCCCCCAGCCTGCGTTCCCAGAGCACAGCCCGGGTTTAATATGCCGTGAGTGAGGGTTTGTTAATTAAGTGATAGGTCTCCATTAATTTGTCCCTGGAGAACGCGAGACAGTCAATCCGAGTTGGAGCCGGGGTCACTGATCCGTTTCACAGACTAAAATAAGGGAAGGGCCAAACCTTTCTCCTTTCAAACGCGAGAATTGCCCTGAGCTTCCGACTACTACGACGGTAGGAATTGGGAAGTGCTTCCCGACCGTGCGGGGACCCGGCTGGGCCACCATCGTGCTCTTTGCCTGGTTTCAGCCAATCTCCTCGTTTGTGAAGCCTAAAGCAGAGCTAGGAAGGGCCGGGAGCAGGATCTCCCTCCTGCTGCCGCTGGCCCTGCTCTGCACGCCGCTGGGAGGACGTTGCTCTCTTTGGCTTCCACTCCTGCAGAGGCAGTTTCAAAGGTCTGAGCTCTCAGAAAATGCCCTTTCCGCCTTCCCTTCCTCACCAACCACCCCACCAGGAGAAAACTCTTGTCTCGCTGGTGCTGCGCAGCAGAGGAGGATGGAGTTTGTTTCCCTCACCCCCGTAACGTAAGGCGAACTTTCTTCGATTTGGAGCGTAATTTTTACGACAATTCAGTCGACCTGAATCTCCGCTCATTTGCATAGATCGATACTGGAAACAACCCCTCGCTTCGCAGTCTGTTGGCATCCTCTCCCTGGCGCTGCCGGCCGGGAATCTCTGCCAGCCCGGGCTGCAGGGCCGGGCAGGAGGGAGGCAGCGGTTCCCCGCGGCGCGGCCGCGCTCTGCCCAGCTGCCGGGGCCGGAGAGACCCATTGTTCGCCTCTGCCCCTACACCGCCCCTTCCTTCCAGCCACCTCAGCGCTGCCTTCGCATAAACGGATCCCGGTAATCCCGTTAGAGAGACAAAGCCTGATTATTCCGCCTTCCCTTTCCGATGAAACCCGAAAGCCGGCACCTTACAGAAACGGCTTCCCCGGGGCGAAACGAGGCTCGCAGCTCGGGGAGACTGCGGAGGGGGGTCGGAGAAGGCCACCTGTACCCGAGCGTGCCCACGACCCCCCCC